TATACAACTTAACATTTCTCTCGCACCAGCTATGTATCTTCCAAGTAATCAACCAATGGAATAGCTTGTCTCCAGAAGTTGTGGGTGCTCCATCACCGGAGGCTTTCAGAAAGAGTTTAGACAACCATTTGTCTGAAACAATACCAGGTCTCCTGCTTCAGCAGTGAGTTGGACTAGAAGATCTCCAGGATCTCTTCCAACACTATTATGCTATGGTCTATGTTCAAAATTAGCAGAGAACATTGGATATCACAGTTATGTGACTGCAGCTTACTATGTGGCTTACATATTTTAAAAAACATTCAAAAATTAGACTCAAAACTTCGATTACTAACCTATGTTAATCCATTTGTGTCTAAACACCAAAACAAAACAAAAAACCCATTGCAATGTATCTCTGAAATTAAAGTTGTTGGGTAATCTTGAGTAAGGTGGTTCTCACTTAATGATGATAATTGGGAACAGCAACTGTTGTATGGTCATAAAATATAATATCATGTGACTACACTGACTTACAATAACCATGTTATTTGAATCTTGCACAGTTGCAATATCCTATGGTCATATGATCCCCATTTGTAACCTGCAAGTTTTCCCATTGACTTTGCTTTTCAGAAGCTGGCAGTGAAGGTTGTAAATGACAACCAATGACAGTGGGATTTTGCGAATGATGTAATTAAAAACAGGTTTCGAAACTTCTAAATGGCAGACATGTCACTGCAGAGAAGATTCAACAACTACAACTGTGGGTCTGTCCACTAAAGAGAGAAGACGGCAAGGAAGTAACAGGCAACAGAGAGAAAACAGAACTGCTTAACTCATTCTTTGCCTCTGTCTTCACACAAAAAGAAGCTATAGCTCAACCCACCAAAAATATAACTGTAAAAGACAGACCAGAAATAAAAGTTAAAATAAGCAAAAAAAAATAGTAAGAGAACACCTGTCTGATCTTGATGAAAACAAATCACCGGGGCCTGATGGATTACATCCCAGAGTTTTAAAGGAGCTGGCAGAGGTCATCTCAGAACCACTGCACCATATCTTTCAAAAATCCTGGAGCACCAGGGAACTACCAGAGGACTGGAAAAGAGCTGATGTGGTTCCCATCTTCAAAAAAGGAAAAAAAATGGACCAGGAAACTATAGCCTAACATCAATACCCAGGAAGATACTAGAAAAGATAATAAAAAACAGATCTGTCAACATCTAGAAACAAGTAAAGTAAGAACTAGCAGTCGGCACAGGTTTTGTTAAAAACAGATCATGCCAAACCAATCTTATTTCATTCTTCAACATAGTGACTAAATTAGTAGACCAGCGAAATACTGTGGACATAATATATTTAGATTTCAGCAAGGCATTCGACAAAGTAGACCATAACCTACTTCTTGGCAAGTTAGAAAAATGTGGAATAGATAGCACCATCACTAGAGGGACTCGCAACTGGCTGACAAACAGTACTCAATGAGTAGTCCTTAATGGGTCTAAGTCTACATGGAGGGAAGTAAGGAGTGAGGTGCCACAAGGTTCTGTCTTAGGCTCAGTACTCTTAAATATCTTCATTAATGACCTAGATGAGTGAATAGAAGGGGAACTTACCAAATTTGCCGATGATACTAAGCTGGCAGGAATAGCTAACACCCAAGAAGATAGGCTCAAGATCCAGATGGATCTTGACAGACTACAACACTGGGTCATATCTAACAAAATGAAATTCAATGTATAGAAAAGTAAAGTCCTACACTTAGGCAAGAAAAACCAAAAGTACACATATAGACTGGGTGAAACCAGGCTCAATAGCAGTAACTGTGACAGGGATCTTGGAGTCTTAGTGGACAACCAGCTAAATATGAGCCAGCAGTGTGCAGCAGCAGCCAAAAAAGCTAATGCAATCCTAAGTAGCATTAACAGAGGGATACAATTGAGATCAAGTGAGGTACTAACACCACTCTATAAAGCCTTAGTAAGACCACACCTAGAGTACTGCATCCAGTTTTGGTCACCACATTATAAAAAAGATGTTGAGACTCTAGAAAAAGTACAGAGAAGAGCAACCAGGATGATTAGGGGACTGGAGACTAAAACATATGAAGAATGGTTACAAGAACTGGGCCTGGCTAGTCTACTGAAGAGAAGGACCAGGGGAGACATGATAGCAGTCTTCCAATATCTGAAGGGCTGCCACAGAGAGGAAGGGGTCATGCAGAGAGAAAGGTTTATGCACCTGAAGGCCAGACTATTTATGTACCCGAAGGCCAGACAAGAAATAATAGATGGAAACTGAACAAGGAGAAATTTAACCTGGAAATAAGGAGAAACTTTCTGACAGTGAGAACAATCAACCAATGGAACACCTTGTGGGAGTGTCATCACTTGAGACTTTCAAGAGGAGATTGGACAGCTATTTGTCAGAAATGGTGTAGAGCAGGGGTCTTCAAACTTGACAACTTTAAGACTTGTGGACTTCAACTCCCAGAATTCCTTCTCCAGTCATGTTAGCTCAGGAATTCTGGGAGTTAAGTCCACAAGTCTTAAACTTGCCAAGTTTGAAGACCCTTGGTGTAGAGTCTCACGCTTGGGCAGTGGGGATTGGACTAAATGACCTACAAGGTCCCTCCCAACTCTGATGATCTGTTAAATGGTCATTAATTGCCCATCATTCAGCATCATTACAACTTTGAACAGCCACTGAACAAGTGATTGTTCAACAAGCACTGTTTTTTTTTAATTGCATCAAACAGAACTGCACCAAATATTCTATCTATATCATATGGAAGAGTTCCAGCCATATTATGAAAGATATGTGAGGTTAGTACTCAAAGGAGAGCAGTAATTTCTGTATCTTTGGGGTTGAAAACTACTTTTTAAACCCATTCCTTCCCAGAGGCTGAATAAAACTAATACGAGATTTACAATAATATGAAGCTGAGGACAACTCAGGTTGGTAGAGTGGGGTCTAAAAACAAAATAAATTAGTTGTGGGAAAAGAAAGTGGATTAAATATGTCACACAGCTTCCCTTAGAGAAGTGAATAAAGTTTGCCAGAATTCACAGAAATAGCTATGCTGCCTGGACATCTCTGGAATTTGAACTGTTGGGTTCTTATACCAGAATAAGGACAATTTGAGTTTTATTTCTTTACACTGGAACACAAATTATGTATCTTTTTTAAAGGTATGCAGAATAGCATTTAAGGAAATCCCCACTTCAAAAGTTGACCCTAGTAAATTCATTAAATGGACCCAAGCAAATAATTGTATTTTAGCCTTAGACTTCCCATCTGTAACACAAAAATAGTAATGTTCAGTTATATTATAGGATTTTACCAGATAATGTTGTTTGAATATGTTAAATTATTTACATATATTATATGTATGCAAATCTGATCAAAATGGCCTTAGGGCAACTCAAAACAAACAGCTTGGATGTTAACTTATACAGTACTAAATTGGTGTTTGGCATTACAACCAAACATGCTGTCGAATTGACCTTTTACTTTTCATAGTGAGACCCAGCAGATCAGCAGCTTTCACGAACATTGTTTAGCTAACTACAAATTAGTAGCATGCACAAATTTTGAAAAACCAAGAGAATGATTTATTGAAGCATCCAATTTCAAACCAGAGATTATGAAGCCTGACTCAATAATCCATGATAATTCAGTTTGAATATCATGCCAAACTATGATTAAATAGAAAATGGAACTTGAATTTGTACAGCTTTGCTATGATCAGAGACTACAACAAAAATCGAGGATGCAGTCGACAGTGACTTAAACATCAATCATTGCTAAATACAAACTTATTGTTGAATAAACAAAAGCTTTTGGTTTTCTAATCAACTTCTTCTAGGATTCATTCAAAATATCACACAAATAGAATCTGATGATACTATTAATCACCATGGAGACTATTGTGATGTCACAGAAATTGAATTAGGGCATCACTGGATAAATGTGGAAAAAATACTGAATACAAAGGATCAAAGCTTCAGTGTGAATAATGCCTTGGTAATTTTGAATGAGCAAAAGACTTGTAAAAGAAATCTTGAATTTTTAGTTTTTAATTTGAGATATAATGAGAGAAAAAATTACTATCAGTGCAACTATTATCATCATGTTCATTTTATCAGGATCTGGTGCAGGGTACATCCATTTTACACAATTTTCTAAAAGTCTTACTAAGCATTTTTATCAAGTACAATTTAAGAAGCTGGTTGAATAATACTAGTCCACTGCTATATTTGAAAGAATGCAAAAAAAGAAAGATCATTATCCTATGGTATTTTCCAAGTATAAGGCATTAAAATTATTCTTCTTAATTGTTGTTTTTTTTCCTGTAACCATGGTACCTTAAGTTCACTACATGCAAGAACAGCTGCTTAAAAGCAGAATTCCAAATCTATGCAAGATTCCCATATAATGCAATATGAAATCTACTGCCATTTCCACTTCCATAAAATAAATCCTAGCTAATGTTAGACTAATCTTGTGGACTTTAATGATGTTCAAACAAGCAAGTTATTTCCACTAGTTATTGGTTTACATGGAAATATATATATATACATATATATGATCAAATTTCCATTAATGTCATGGAAGAAGTTGGATATACAATACTTATTTCCACTTAAAAGATTGGCAGCATACAAATCCAAATATTTAACTGCATATATATGTTCATAAAATATGTTTACTAGAACTATCATGCATGTATCAATATGATTATATTGTAGCAGTTTTGTTATTTATGAAACACATATCTCCTACGTTACTTAAATGCCTGTTAAATGTTTATATTTTTATTATATTTTTACTGTAGGAATTCTTCTCTTATGATCATAATATACAAGCATAATATAATATAAACATGTATAATGATATTATACATATTACGATAATAATTCATAAAATAAGCAGATTACCCCAACAAGGCTAACCTATTTCATTATTATTGGAAATTCAGGTTTTTAATATAATTTCCTTTCTGTATTCCTTCATACCTAATCCTATGAGAGGGTGATGCTCCACTAAGGCCCAGCTGTTGTCATCCACACAATGACTTTTGTAAACGAGCAACTGGCAGAGGTCCCGGGCTGTTGTATCTGCTAAGATCTCAACTACCTTGCAAGTCCCATCTTCACTAAAAACTTTTATATCCTGCAATACAAAAAAAAATGACACACTTTATTGATAGCAGCACTATATTCCCAAAAACATTAAAAGAAGAAGTAGAAAAAAACCCAAATACTATACATAATTGATATTGGGCACAATGTGGGGTTATGATGATGAAGCTATATGTACCCTGAAAAGCTGCCTCTTAGGCACTGTTCAGATTAAGTTATTTGAATAATTTATCTAATTTTGGGGTCATAGGAAAGAAAACTATAAAAAACACACATTACATACAATATATCTTTGCATCTTTTCTAGAAGACCAACAAGCTAGGCGTCTCAGAAAAATGAGTTCTACAACTATGTTAATATGAATCCCTAATACTGAGGATTCAAACAACTGGCAGAGGTAGGGAGTGGGCAAGATTAATAACATATTCTGCACTTCAAGATTTTTTGCCCTGGAGTGTTTTAACACTCAAAAACATGAAATTAAAAAATCAATTTAAAACACATCTCTCTTGATTAGTATTAAGTTTGTCTAATTTAGAACGGAATTTAAGACAGTTGCAAGCACCAGTTACACTTCTTCCATGCTCGTATCACAAAATCCCATCCTTTCTTGCAACTAAATATACTAATAATTGACAAGAATAAAAATAGAAAATAAATAAATTTATTATCTTTAATCATTAATTAAGATGAGACTGTAGTCTACTGGCAACCTGTGAATCTTCATTAAAATAGGTAATTTCCATTACTAATTAATATTGTTTTAATCAATAATAATAAATAGCATTAACCCTGCAAAAAGTATCCCATTCACAACTTTAATCTTACATTAAGATTTAGAACAGATTTAACCCTGTGTTAACTTTATATTCTGATTTGGGGAAGAGGAAAAGAAAGCATTTTACCTCACCAGTATGCACAAAGCAGCAGTCAGGAGAACAAGATGGCATTTTAAAATATAGATTTCTTGTTCAGAAAGATTGTTCTCTGCCCCTTCCAGCCCTTTGAAATTCTAAGCTCAAGCAATTCAGGTTATTTCAATGGTTATTTCAGTATCAGCAAGTCCTGGTGGTGTGTGCACCATTTTCTGGAGGAAGCAAAACTTCCCTCAAAGGGTTACACACAATCTTTTAGGTAGTGAATCAAACCACACTGTACAGACCAATCATAGCCCTTTTGGTGACTGATGTAATCATTTCCACAGAACTCGCAGACATCCAAATTATGACCCCAGGAAGAATTTTCTTCCTTTATGGCCACCCACATGCATTTAAAAAAAGAACAGCACACAGCCCAGAAATCATTCACCAGGATCACCAAAGTTTTAAATAGCCAAACTCTGCAGCCCAAACCCGACTGGCTCCTTGAACTGCTGGTCTGTTTGCCAAATTCCTCTCCATTCTCCACCTTGTGGAAGCAGCTGATGTCATCTGTTTGCAAGTTAAGCCCTTGAACTTCTCCAAAGCGTTTAATGCCACCACTTCCCCCCCTCCTCCCCCCCCACACACACCAGGCAGGATAGTTCCCTCCCTCTCTGCTTCTCTGAAGCTTAAGAAAGGCTTTTAAAGAGAGCTGAGGATCTATCATAAATTCAAAAGCTTCATCTGTCCATTCTTGTGTCTTATGCTGAATATTTAAGAAAGGGACTCCACAGTGTCGTATTACTGTAATACCAATTCTCCATTCACTTTGGAATCAGCAGTACAGAGCATGGAAAGGCACGATTAGGGATGAGTTAAAATTTAAATATGAAAGAAAAAAACAAGACTCAAAGCTTGTGCATTCAGGAAACAGCATCTTTTGACAAACAGGATGAGCCATTTCTTTCTGAAGAAGAGGGGGAAAGGGAATCCTTATTAATGAAACTGTAAAAAGTGATCTAGCTTCATAAAATTCCTACATATCCCCCCCCCCCAAAAAAAAAACTCTCTTAGCTTACAAATAAAGGTGGACCTCAAAGTTTTATGGTTTAGCCTCTTTTTAAAACCAGGATCTTGGGGACTTTATTTTCCACAGTCTAAAGGTAGTATATTTCATACTCAACTGGTTACAACCCCAGTAATACAGGTTCAACTGCTTCAATGAAATACATGCATTATGTCATTTGCTGTGGGCAGCTAAAGAACAAATGTGTTTCCTGAAAAAAAATCTGTTCATTAGCAGCAGCAGCAGCAACAACAACAAAAAAGATCAGTAGCCTCCTTTTAAGTCCCCTTCTGTCCCAGGTTGCAGGTTTTGCTTCATCTATTGCACAGGAAGTAGGCAGTACATGAAGCTCACATTCAGGCTTAATAGCATCAGTGAAGAGATTATCAGTTCAGAATCCTAAACTATATCATAACAAGGCAGAGAGGACCAGGAATAGAGGTTAACCTCCAATGCCATTTGTCATCCCACCAAGCAATGTAAAAGCCTCCCTCCTTACCAGTTCCTAATTATTATACAGGAATGAGGTTCAGATATAAAGTATATGTGAGTAAATATGAGCATTATGGGATTATATATGAATATGTGGCAGAAACAAATGCATAAAAAAATGGGGTAGCCTTGACTTTTCTTCTTTTTGTTTACATGATGTACCCATCTTTGGCATTTACCCCCCAATTTTGTGGAAGTTCAGTATAGTGGTTAAAGCACCAAGCTACAAAGCAGGGAACCATGAGTTCAAATCTCGCCTTAACCATGAAAGTCAGTCCCTGTTGATTGGCTGTTGGGGGGAAAATTGGAGAAAGATGTGTTCAATATGATCACTGTTTTATCTGTAAAAATCATCTGTAAAAATAATAAAGGCAGGATAAAAACAAATAAATAGGTTCCAGAGGCTTAAAAACATTCTTCACCTCTCATATAAGATAGATGTCATTGTTATTTATAAAATGCAGGTATTATGTGTTAGTAACTTACAAGTGAACCGACTATTCATAATTCTCAATATAGGAAAGCTTGGGTTATTGGAGGAAAAGAAAGAAATGCAAAGCATCCAGATTTTATTTCAAAAAATCCTGGAGTTTCTTGCAACATATAGGTAATTAATTCCAGATTCATTTAAACAAAGATACAATCTGTTTCACAAGTAATTGCAGTTTATTCCAAATGATAACCTTTACAATCCTCTTCCTCTCCAGGTATACAGGATGGAAGCAGAAAACCCACAACTCATCAGAGCATATTTTCATTAGCCTGCACTACTGCATTCTAACCATTGCACCACCAGGGCTCTTGTTAGTTAATTAATGACTACAATCTCACTTTTAGTATGCCAATCTCTCTGCATTGAAAGGTCTTTTTTTTTTTTTTAAGGCTCTTGATCATTTTAAACTAGGAATGTATTAATCACACAGGATTCTGTCCTGTGCACTGAGAGTAGTTTTCTGGGGCTCTCATTAACAAACCATGACCATGTTTTCTAATATTTTATTCCTTTGGAAAATAGGCAATGCCATTTTGCATAATCCACAAGATAGCTCTGGATGCTGCAAATTATAGTCATGATGGAGTGCTTTACTGAGATATTTGGAAGGTAATTGACAAGGGTTCTGCCAGTTTCGTCTTCTGGTCCAAGTGACAGGAAGGCCAGTAAGTCTTCCAGAATCTCAAATCAGAAGGATCAGTGGAATAGAGGATAGACCACTGGACCAGGATGAAGTAAGGAGCTCTCTCAATGCACCATATAAGCTGCCTCCTGCTTCAACCTATTCTGCTCCTCCCTCCTCCAATTGGCATCTGGGTTATTTGGGGACAGAGGTTAGTCTTCAGGTCAGCCTTTGGAAATAATTCAAATGACAGATTACCAGTGCAAAACTTCTACTGAAGCATTCTGTACTCAGACAACTTGAAAGGTAATTAAAGTCTCTATTCCAGGCGCCTGCTCAAATTCACCCAAGTCTACCCCATCCTACCTCAGGGAGAATGTTTGGTGATAACTTTTCCTATCAGTAAGTGTGCTTGGCAGAAGTGGGGAAAGAACCAGGAGAATCTACCAATCATTACCCTTAAATTGTCCACCATAACATTATAAGGACAGTACCACTCACAACTCTTCTTACTAAAGCAATTGGAACATCAGGGCTGCACAGATTATGTTGAGATATTTTTATCCACTTTAAGAGGAATTCACATTAAAAACAATCCTATGAAAAGCCCACAGCCGTTCACTATAAATGGAAGATAAGGAAAGCTAATGTGGCACATATATAATAAAGATGTGATTAAATAGAATGAAGATCATTTTCAAATCAGATTAGTTTCAAAGCATACTAAAAATAAAAGTGACAGAAATATAAAACGCTTCTGTATAGTTAAACTGGTCAGGGAGTAATTATTTTTAGTCACATTTTTCTTTAAATGAAGGCAAACATAAACTTTGTTTTTGTGCATTGCTTTCCTAAATTCAACTATTGAAATCTCAGATTAACCCTGTTTGCTTGTTTTAGTTCCACTCTGGCAAATTCTGTGAGTGTATAATTATTTGCATCTTGAAATTATTCTTGAAACTACAAATTACTTGGTGACAGCAAATATATCAATTCATCTTTTTCTTCTTTCAATTTTTTTACCTGAATTAAGCAAAATTAATGTTATTTGAGAATACAGGGATAGTGTGCATTAAATTTTACTACTGAAAATACAGACTTTTCTCCCTCCCATTTATATTTAATTTTAATTGGCTTTTTTGTTGTTGATTTATGGGATCTTTTGGTATCTGATTTTCTATCTTACATCTATTAATAGAGTGCAATACATCTTATTGCACTCTATTGTAATAATCTTAATAAAGTAAAATTACAAGGATTAAATTTCCTATTAAGCTAACACAAATACTGTTTATGTTAAGAAAGTATGGTCTAAAATTATTTTTTCTTTTTAATAGAAAGCAAGAGTTCTATCAAAAGCTTTAGCAGAAAAGCTGGTTAAGGATGTTTACATATAATTGACAACTCCATACTCCAAAATACCATACTCCAAATATAGTACTAACTTAGTTGGTAATCTTCAAAGCTGATTAAGACGTGTCCAATTAATGTGGCTATTCTTAATACTTTCAGCTATATCAGGAGATCAGTCTTTAAAATAAATTAATTTTATAGTTTGTGTTTTTTAAAGAAACACTATTTTATCCACATAGGGGGGAGAGACAGAGAGAGAGTTTATATTATATCACATAATAAATAAATTGGACCTGAACCAAACATTAAATCCTTTTTAAAATTACAATAATCCTTATGTTTATATTATAATCTTACGATTTTACAGACAGGAATTTAACTTAATAAATTTAAATATTTCTGCATTTCAGTGGGTACGTACTAGTTTTCATATAATCATAACATTGGAAGAATCTGGATAATCTAGTCCAACTTAATACAGAAGTCATCAAACATCTAGCCTATATTTGAAGATCTGAAATAAAGTTCACGTGACCACTTGTTACACTGTGTGACAGCTCATCCAGGTGGGATGTTCTTTGTGACAGCTAGCCTTCCCTTCCTTTCTTGTAATTTTAATGTTTAAGTTCTGATGATGGGTAATAAGAAGTAAGTCTATATGACAAATATTTAGATATTTAAAGACTCTTCAAATAAGTTTCTTCAATTGTGTTGCTGTAAGCTAAACATATCCAGATCTTATAACCGTTTTTTAAATGGTTTGGTTTATCAATTATCAGAAATTGGCAGATGAATGTGTTCTACTGTAGGTTTGAGAGATCTTTGTCAAGTATCGCTACCTCTCCCCATTTCAGATACAGTACAACCTCTGGTCATGACCATAATTCATTCCATAAATTTGGTCACAACCCGATTTGGTCGTGATTTGAACCTAATTGCACTTACAAAAAAAATGTTGTGGAAGGAGAAATTGGCCACACACAAGAATTGTTAGTTTTTTGGTCAGAACCCGATTTGGTTGTGGTCAGAAGCACTGATGACCAGAGGTTCTACTGTACACCAATGATAGCTAAATCTCCTACATCCCTTTGACCCCCACATCTCTGGTGGAGATGAAGAAGATGTTCAGTGTTTATTTCATAAGCCCAAGGTCAGAAAAGTATCAGGCCCAGAAGCATTGGTTCAGGGGCCACCGAGCCCATCAGTTTGACAAATTGGCCTCTAGCTCAGTGAGGTCAAAATCTTGAAGCTGGCCAGACTGGAAGCTGGTTGTGATGCCAGCTGCCCCAACCCCTTAAAATAATCTGTGCAGGTTGGAGGAGCTAAGGATGGCCCATGTTTTTCAGAAGGCAGCAGCCACAACCCCTGTTGTGTCTTGCCTGAACCCGGTCTGCACCCAGCCCTCCTTGCAATGCTGGAGCATCTCAAATCTGGGTGCAGAGCAGAGCCAAGTAGGAACTCAACAGGCGGCAGTGGCAGATGCCACAGGGTGCAGATATGTGACTATCTGCCCTGTACCTATTTGCCAGGGACAACTGTCTCTCTGAAAATTAGCCTGGATGAGAGTATGGTGAGCTACCAGTGTCAGGGAAAAACACCAGCAGAGGGCTAGCAGACAATAAATGGGCCGCGGTAAAGTAGAAGACAGCAAAAATCTGTTCCTTAAAAATGTATACATTTTAGGGCTATCTTTCTTAATCCTGGGAACTTTAAGAAATTTAAGATAATTCTCTATAGTTGTGCTATATTTTTAGAAAGCATTTATCCAATCTAGTAGAAAATCAGGATGATATGAAACATTCCCAGGGTGCATTTTTAAGGCTATCAAAACATTTTTTCCTATCAATTTCAAGTGCTAGCCTAAATATATAGCTCTTCAATTCTTGCAGCAGGAAAGAAAAGCATTTTTAATAAAATCTCTGCCCACTCCTTCCACTGGTGCTAATCTAATAGGAGACAGGGATTTGGGGGAAGCAAAAGCTTGCATGACTCCTATGTTAATACTACTTACTTACAAGAATAATTTCCATAAAATAATCATATTTTTGAAAAGATCGTTCTTTATTAGGCATTTAAATGCTACTGCCCTTTAGAATTGAAAGCATTGGACTGAAAAGTCCAGTTCTGGTTGCACTCTGATTTTGGCAGTTCATTAGGGATACAAAACCTGTCAGAGTATATTCATGAACTGGAATAGAGCTTGGTAACAAGGTCAGCCAATGAATAAGCATAGCAACTAAATCAGCCAATGAGGACAGTTTGGAAACTGAAACTAGAAGTAGCCTAGGCTGGAAACTGAAACTAAAATAGCTAAGGCGTGGTAGCCATGTTAAGCTCTGCAGCTATGTTGAGTTCTGAGTCTGTCTATTGAAAATGAAAATGCTTCTCTCCTCTGCTGTGGATAATGCTTGCCTGCTGAACTAAAGAGAAACTAATGTTTGTTTCTGAGCTGCTGACGTTGCAGCTATAGCTCTGAATTTGTGACATGTTTGCTGCTGTTTGAGTTTGCTCCATGTTGGAGAAATCTACAACTGGTTTCTAAAATCTACTTATTATGTTTATAAAGATGTTAAATGAAGCATCATCCATCTGTGTTTATTTTTCTGCGCTGAATTAATGCTGCAAAACTCCTGAATAAACCAATTCAGAAGCAAAAACTTCTTCACTTCATAATCCTGAGCAATAGCAATTTTACTGCATGTGGGTATACTTATGCTAAAAATAAGATGCTCTTTCATCAACTACAGCATACCATGATTCCTCCTTGTGATCAGTGATCGTAAGGAAATTTAATAAAAATATCCATGTTAAAACCAGTTGTTTTCTAAAACACAAAGAAAGTCTCACTCACTTGCTTATTCATAGGTTGACTCTGAGGTAGAGATCCTGGTGCCAATACAGGTGAATTTGTGGGGCTGCAAAGTTCAGGGAAAGGATTTGGAATAGCAGGCAAAGAGGATGTTCTGAATTGTTGTTCTTCCTCCTGAAGACGTCTATAGTCAAATCAAACCCATATTATGATCAAGGTCCAACATAAGGAGACTGGGATACAGTCAATTTAAAAAGCAGTAAAAATACAGGTAGTCTTCGATTTACAAGTTGATTTAGTGACTATTCGAAGTTACAACAGCCCTGAAAAAAAACTTGTAAGTGTGAAAAAAAACATTTCTCACACTTACAACCACTGCAGTATCCCCATAGTCACATGATCAAAATTCAGATGCTTGGCAACTGACTCATATTTATGACAGTTGCAGTGTCTCGGGGTCATGAAATTACCTTTTGTGAACTTTTGATAGCAAAGTCAAAATACACGTGTCATTAACTTAACAACTGTGGTGATTCACTTAACAGCAGTGGCAAGAAAGGTCGTACATTGGGGCAAAATTCACTTAAAAACTGTCTCCCTTAGCAACAGAAATTTTGGGTTCAGTTGTCATCGGGGATTAACTGTACATCAGTGTAATGATAAAAAGCTAAAAAATGCAAAATAAAAAGTACATATAAAATAAAAGTGTAAAAGGAATTTAAACTGTTTTATAGAAAATACAGATATTTTCAAATGGTACTCTGATGAGGCTAGTTAGCATAAGTACATAAGTACAAAATAAAAACCATGGTTATGGGGCCATTTCCCAAGATGCTATGCTGAATGGTAATTATTTTTAATAAACTTTATTGTTCTTTTACATTTTAAAAAAGAGAAATTAATCATAACATTAACAACACTGTAGCGTCAGTATTATACATAATTATCTCTTATGCATATTTACATTTATAAACATAGTTATACGATTATATACATTTGTCTATAGTTTGCTTATCTTTATTTTCTATTTACCTAATTTCCAGACAATTATACCATATATCCCAAATTTTATGATATTCAGACTCTTCTTTATCTTTTAGTTTTAGGATCAATTTGTCCATTTCAGCACAATCCAATATTTTTTGAATTACCAATTCGTCAGGAGGGATGTTATTGTGCTTCCAACATTGTGCGTACGATATTCTAGCTGCCATTAATATGTGTAATACAATATATTTAACCTTTTTCTTATGTTTCTTTTTAAATATTCCTAGCATAAATAACTCCGGTTCAAATTCTATTTGTTCTTTAACAATTTCTTGCAACCGTTGCCTTATTTTGGTCCAATATCTTTTAGCTTCTGGGCAGGACCACTACATGTGGTAGAAAGTAGCTTGTATCTTTCTACACTTTTTATTTTATTTTTTATTTGTCAATTGCTTACAAGAAAATAGGTATAAGTAAAAATATAGTTATGAATACATGGATACATATAAGAAAAATAAAAGAAACAATAGGACAGGGATGGTAGGCACGTTGGTGCGCTTATGTACGCCCCCTACAGATCTCTTAGGAAAGTGGTGAGGTCAATAGTAGACAATCTAAGGTTAAAGTTTTTGGGGTTTGGAGAAAGGACCACAGAATCAGGTAGAGTATTCCAGACATTGACCACTCTGTTGCTGAAGTCGTATTTCCTGCAATCAAGTTTGGTGCAATTAACCTTGAGTTTGTATCTATTGTTTGCTCTTGTGTTTTTCCAGCATGCCGGATTCATGTTGGGTACATTTTGGCTAATCTCATTGGAGGTAGGTGCCATCGATAGAACATCTTGTATATATTTTCTTTGTATGCCGATGATCTTGTTAATTTATAATTCCAATTCCAAATTTTTTCCCATTCTGCTAGATTTATAGTGTCCTATATTTTTGGCCCATGCTATCATACAGCCTTTTACAATTTCTTCTTCTAAATCAACTTCTATTAAGTATTCATAAAATTTTGCAATATTTTTCTCATCAGGGCCTGTTCGAATTTTATCTAAATGTTGCAGTTCTGTATAGATTCCATATTCTTCTATGTCTTTTTTATGTCTATTTTGCAATTGGAGATATGGCCACCCATCTATGGATATTCCTTGTTCCTTAAGATCCTGAGTGGTAATTTTTGATGGATTTTCTTTCTTTTTTCTTTTTCTTTTTTTCATCCTTCTTTATTGTTGTCTATATTGAGAAATATTATCGCAACATTAACTGTGGCAACTTTATCTAACTCCCCTGTTCTTGAAAGGAACTATTTATGTCTGGTTATGAATGTCCTTGACAAGGCTGAAAGGGAAATGGAGTCTACAGATTAACAGAATTGATGAGTGATGAAATGTATTTTCTTAAGAAGATTGATGGCAATCGGGGAATGGACTTACTATATCTATCTCAAAAACAATTTCAAATGGCTTTTTTGGGGAAGATGGATTTACCACACAGGTTTATGATTCTGGGGAATCAGGTACAATTGTTGGGAAAGTTTTCAATCAAAATTTTAAAGAAAAGTTTATTAAGAAGTAAATGAGGATATTAAGAAGTAAATGAGGATATTTGATCCTGCACACATCAGAGATAATGTTTGTGATCATTTGTGATAGATAAGAAGCTGTGGTATTTTTCTATGAGTTAAATACAATAATAGATTATTAGCAGAGGGCTTTGAAGTTTAACTTTGCTGTTGATTCATTTGTTAACTACCTTGTTTTTATGTATAGTAGATAGATGACAGGTCAATCTATTTGGCTGCTAATAGATGTAGAAGTTTATACTTATTTATACTACTATATTTATACTACTCAACGGCGGATGTGGGGACTAATATTGTTGCAATATATTTACCAGTATTCAATAAGAGAGGTAGTATATGTACTGTATATATGTTTCTTTTATCCTTTTTAATACATATTTTTTACCATTGGTTATGTTTTATCTAATTTTTTTTTCTTATAAAATTTCTCTGTATTTTATCTTAACTTTCTGAATAAAATAAAAATTATTCAAAAAACATGGTAAAGTTTACCAAAGCAAAAGGAATTTATTTGTGACCTAGAAATAACAGAAATCACATATCTTAACTCTTATTTTTAAATATCTAATTAGGCCTACCATATTTTCTAATATCTTGCTAATTCTGTTTAGCAGCATCATAATGATAGCTAATTCAATCACTGTATTTAAGCTGATGAAATACAATTTTGGAAGAAATGTTAAAAAATATTTTTAAAAATTCATGATTTCTAAGCATTTATCTATGTAGAAAAAATAGCACTTCTAGAAATTTACAAATACTGCTTTAGTCTCTCACAGAATAAAGCTAAATTTCTGCTGTAAAAACTTCTTCAGCAGCTATTTTTTCCCTTTCATATTCTACTTATTACTTTGACTTTGCTCATAATGAAGGTATTTTACACTATAATATTCTTTTATTGTTCAATTACCTATGTTTTGCCCTTGAATTTAATTTACTTAGACTCAAATCTATTTCTAATTGGATACAGTGGATATTAATTTTTTAAAATACTGAAGCACTGCAATATTAACATTTATTTCGGAACAAGGCTGTCTGAGTTCCATGAAATTTACTTCTTACCAATTATACTTAATCATTTCTAAATAGAATGCTGGGGCAAATAGTTGTTTTAAGAAAAGTGCTGTTATATATAGCCTAGAGTTGTTCCGGCAACTGAAAAGATCTATAAATTAATTAAACAGGCAAACAGGAAACTGCTTGTTGACCTAGCTTTGCATTCAACTTTCACTTTGAGCAGATAACCCTCTCCAGCCTTTGCTTGAGACATTCAACTCTCAGTACAGAGTTTCAGGAAGGGACATGCTTGAGCTATTCAGTAGATTCCCAGTCTTCTTTCTTCTTTCCTTCCAGAACTTCCAAAACTTATTTGTCAGTGTAAAAGAATGTTGCACTTTATTCTAAATAAACACAGTCTTAAAGAGAAAGCACATTCAGAATACTGACTCATACGGAAAGAAAAAGAATGCCTTTAAAGTTGTCAATGCTAAACATTTTTTAAAAATAACTCAACATTTAAAAAAACCATTAAAAAGTTTTCAGGAAAAAATGCATACTGTAACCAATAGACTCAAGAAACTGCTGCATTAAACAAATATGTTTATATATGATGAATTCTAGCACCCTGGATAATTCAAATAGTACCACTGAGATACCACCTTCAATTTACAGAAGCGTCCCTCAAGCTGAGAGATAATGCATCCTGCCAAGTTGTTGCTGTGAATCAGACTCCAAATTTTATGGTTACAATTGCATTCTGAATTGGATCTTTGTTGGTTATATACCTGACTGCCATAATGCGAACTGGTTGAGACCTCTGTATTTTCTGTCGTGGAGACACTGGATGCAGCGAACTAGTTCCTGAAGCTAACAGCTGGCTGCCATTCTGAAGGAGTGGTGTACTTTCTGAATGCATGCAGAAGGTGGAGCATAGACTTTCAAATGAGGAGTTCATATTGTTAACTAAAGCTTCCAAATCCACATCATCATCTGAAAGAATAGAAAGAGATGAACACTGAAGATCAGAAGCAAAATAGACATTAAAGAGCTACACATATTTGGACAGTTCTAATATAACAATTATCTACCATTTGGCATTAATTTCCCCAAGTTTGTTCAGAGATATAAAAATATTTGTTTGTTTATATTAATGCAGCTTCCCTTCTTGCTAAAAAAAACTTGAGGTTTATCAGTATAATGAGTAATAGAATAACTGAATAACAAAATTGAAAAGGACCTTGGAGATCTCCTAGTCCAGTGGTCGCCAACCAGTAGGCTGTGGACCACTGGTGGACTGTGAGAAATTTTGGTGGTCTGCAGAGAAATGCACCCCCCAAAGCAATTATTCCAGGCTGCGTGGGAACATAAGGTGGTGCCATCCACATGGTCCGAGGGAACATAAGGCTTGCGTCACTTGCATTGTGAACAACACGAGGTAGTGAGGGGAGAGGGGAACTTTCCCCATTCACCCCATGTGCCTTGCCTGGCCACTAGGCTGCTTCTTTCCACTTCTTTCTTCTTCTGCTTTTGGCTCCACACAAGGAAAGCAGCAAGTCTTTCTTTCTCTCCTCCAAACTCCTCAAGAAATGAGTCTTTGGGGCCCTGCAGGGCATTTTGCTCCAAGAGGCTGAGCTGGCAAAGACTCATTTCTGGTGGAGTTTGGGGGAGAGAAAGAAAGACTTCTGCTGCTTTTGCTGCTTTCTTTGCATGAAGCCAAAAGTCTCTCCCCTTCCCCCAAGAACGGAGCTGGAGACAGTATCCTGCGATCCCAAATAAAGAATGATAAATCGGTAGGAAACAGGGTAGGGGATTTTCCTGCACACTTTTTGGGGATTTCCCAAGGTCTCTGTCTGCAGAGACCCTGGAAAAATCCCAAAAAAGTCTACAGGAAAATTCCCCACCCCATTTTCCTACTGATCTCTCTCTCTCTCTCTCTCTCTCTCTCTCTCTCT